AAGGATCACTCACTGCAGGAAAAGAGAGGGCTGGAGCACCCTTTGCAGGGAAGGTTGGCTGAAACCCTTGGACTGCATAATCCGGTAATTTGTGTTTCTTTGAACAAGGAGGCACATGAGCAATCCATATGCTGGTGATTCTGCTGATTTATTGTTCCCACTGCAGGGGCACATCACCCTCGACCCAACCAGCAGATCACCCTGACCAGTATAAATGCAAAATGGTTTAGTCAGTTTTAAAAAAAAAAAAAAAAAAAAATCACATGAACATTATGTTTATTTTTCCAGCAGAATCTGTTTCTTTCACAGTCTTTCAGTTGCTTCTTTTCTGAAGAGTGAAGTCTTTATTTCAGACATCTGCTTATAGAAAATGAGTATTTTTTAAAGGGCACATTTAAAGATGAAAAATGAGACTTGAATAACTTAATCAGCATACAAATTACACAGATATAAAAGTTCTCTTTCATTGTCTTAACTTACAGTTTATTTTACACAGAATTCATTATGTTATACATCTAAGACTTATTATATTGTATAAATATCTTGGGTGTGCTGTATATACATATTCAGTGTTATAGATTCAGCAATTAATGTATGCATTTCACAATACACTATAGTGTATTTCAATGTAGTGCACATGATTTATATTTCAGAAAAGAGCATATCCGCTATGAAAAATTGGTATTTCATTCATAGGGTACTCTACCTTGAAATACAGTCTTTTTTTTTTCCCATTATATAATGGACTGTTTGTACTGTGTCGTATGGCTGTAAGATTTTCTTGTACATTCCCCAATATGAATTAAGAAACAGCAGCTCAAAACGTTAATCTGTGTGATTCTACATCAAGAAGAGAGCAGGGCACTGGTTTCCTAAGTTCTTACTTAGATGAGAAAGAAGGTGTAGATAAGCCAGGTGGAGCTAGGCTGTGTGCGATGGCCAAACGAAAGAAAAAGTTCTGCACAAATGAGAACTACTAGCTCTTGCTTCTCCATTCTCTGTGTGCCAGTGGTCAGCCGCCATAAATCACTCAGCTCTGATTACAAGAGTCGAGGGTTTGGCATCAGCTTTATTTTTAAAGTTCACAAACTCCCCGTGTTCCGTTAATCCACTCTTTACTTACGCAATTTTTGCCGAGTGTCTCCGGTAAGTGTATTGACATTACATACTGTCTTTCCTCGACAGCAGGCCAAGAAACTCACTCGCAATGTCTTCTCTATACATGCCGTAAGTAAGATGTGCTGTTTGTTCAGTAGTAAATTACAGGTGTTGCTTTCCTGGGCACCTACTGAAGCACAATTCTAATTAATCTGTCAGTATCGTTTCTGTTTTCTTTTTTAGACAATTCTAGGTTCCTGCATCCATCCATCCATACATATTGTGCCTTTTGATCATTTGGCTGCCTTTGCTTTGTACTCTGAAAAGCAGAAACTCTTTTATCGATGTATAAATGCTGTTCATTTAACAGCAAAGTGGAATATTATATGTTCCGTGAACAAAAGACTTTATTTTAAAAAAAGACATTGAAAAAAAGTAGGTGAATCAGAGAACTGTGGGGGTTTTAAAATAATTTTAAATTAAATTTACTTACATTTAAAGTATGTCATCACTTTGAAACTAAAATTTGAGATATTTCATTTTAAAAGGATTGATCAACTCAGAACTACATTTTGCATCAAATATATTCATCTAAATTCTTTTCCTTTTGATTTTATGAGAAGTAGCATAAGCGCTTAAACCAGCATAAACCCAGAATAACCCCACTTTATTGGTGTTACCTCAGTTTTACTGAGAACAGAATTCTTTCTTCCCACTTCTTTTGGTTTTTTGTATTGCCGTTTTTCTGTGTAAGAACCTTCATGTAACAACATGTGACGTAGAAGAAATGTTACATGAATCTGCAGTTGTCGATTTTATTTCCCCCCCATTGCCAGATTTGGGGAGGGGTCTTTTTCTGGGCAGCTATATCCAGTTCCATTGTTTAACTGATCACCAGTAGTGGCTCTACTCTTCTCTAATGGGCTGTATTTGTAATTTAACTTTGGGATAGATGTATATAATTTAACTTTGGGATAGTATGATGCATATGGCATGCAAAAGTTATGACTCTAAAGAAGTCATGGCATTAATGAATAGCAGTCATGGCATTCAGCCATGGAACCACCTAAGCACTTCATTGAAGTGCTTCACGCCCATGCTGACAGATGCTGTACCGAGCTAGGCCTCTACTGCCCTATGGGGAATAGAACACAAACCCTAGTTACATGTGGCATTCTACTCAGAGCCTATTTTGGATATGTGCTCAGTCAAACACCAGACTGGAAGTATTTCTGGTCCGACACTAACAGTCCTGGAACCCTGCAGTTACAACTGTCTTCCGCAGCAACATCTGAAAGCACAGGGGTTTGCAAGCCACGCGGCAAGTAAATGCCGAAAAGGCCTGAAGTCTCCTTTGGTGGCTTCTAGCAATGACCACGCTGCATGTAGGACTGTCCTTCCTCTACACACTAGTGTGCAACCTGAACATATGGCCACTTGTAGGGACTATGGACAACCAGGGATTAGGCCTTAGGTACAAGTTCAAGGACACACCAATGTGACAGTAGAGAGCACCCTAACTTAGCGATCCTCAGTCTTTCAGGCCGTAGCCCTTGAAGGGAAATTTCCTGAACAAGTAAATAAAGCTGTTGACTTCCATTACCTGTTAATGAATCAGAAGAGCAGCTAAGCACACCTGGAAGTCCCTTGGCACTCGGTGCGCTTATGCAGCACTGTCTAGGGATGGAGTTCAACATCTGCTGGTGCGCTGAGCAGAACTGGAGCCACAGTGAAGAAATGGGTTGTGGAGTCCAGAACGCTGCTGTGAGATCATAGTTTCCCTGGTAAACTGATGGATACACATTCATGAAAATAGCTCTGCAACTGCCATCAGCAAGTTGTTTCCTCTGCTTTCAAGACTAAATTTATTTGTGGTTGATTTATACTCATTTACTATTGTGCAAACAATACTCTTGCTTTATGGTTGGGCCAAATACAAAATAATGTATTGGGAAGAGATGTCAAATTCTAAAAAGGGATTTTTATGTTGTTAGTAATAGGGATCATGGTAGGAATTAGTATTTCCTTACCAGGTCTAGATCATTTAAAGAGGAGAGAACATTTGTTAAACAACCCAAGAGTTCATTTGACGCACAAGTGCTGCATCCCTTATGAAACAGACGCATCTCTTGCTCTGTTATTTTCTCTACTTAAAATTAGATTATAACATATGCCATCCCCTCACTATGCAGTTTAGTGCCAGCAAACATAAGTCTCTAATCACTTAGATAAGCCTGGTGTTCTCACTTTCTAGTCTCACCATTAACATTCTCATATTTTGCAGTAGTTACATTAAACATGTTCCCAGTTGTGGATTAGGATCCAAATGCAGAATTTCCCATAGTTAAGGTTGTCTGGTCTGTTCTAATATCAGAACTGAATTATAAAATTCAAATCCTACCTTGGTCTACCTAAAAGATGGGAACTACGGTATGTAAGGCAGTTGTAATTTAGATCTTGTGTTTATTGCGCAGGATCCATCACAAGAACATGTGCTTTATTGGTTTTGTTAAGTGTTATGTATACTCAGGTTTTTTTTCTAACTGTAATTTTCAACTTATTTCAGTCAGCCTTCAGTAAAAAAATACAAGTAATGCACACAAAATGGCAGCTTTGAATCTCCAGCATGTTTGCCTTGTTAAAATTGGGAATAGTCACTTTATAATGTGCCCAGTGTGTCTTTTCTTTCCTTCTTCCTTTTTTAATGAAACATGGTGTAAAGTTTTTCTCTTTAACGGCCTTATGTTCAGAGCTGTTTTAGACAAGGTCTGGGGCGTTAGCCATTGAGCATGCTCTACTTTGTCCTGCTAAACTTTACCACCAACATATTAACTAGTACAGAACAGCGACTCCAAGCTTTTGCTTATTTGCTAGGAAATTTCCTTCCTATTCTATGCATTTCAATACTGCATTTGACTTTCTCATTCTGATAATAATGTGTGTTGCCAACCAAGCTGCTGTTTCAGCAAAGCATCTTCCTTTGAAGTACGTGCTGTTCTGTTGCAGGTTACTTTTTCATATTAGCAATGACAAAAGTAAACCCAGGGCTACTCCTTGATTTTTATTTTCCAGGGTTTATTATTGTATTTACAGTTCCCTGTAAGAAGATACAACCCTTTCCCAGTAAGAGTTCTAATACCTTTCTATGTTTCAAATACTAACGACCCATATACCCATATGGAAAGGAAAAAGATAATCAGTGATGAAGGAGGTACCTCTAGGGGCTGATGCAGATGAATAGAAAACTTAAATCATTATAAATATTACTGTACTACACTTTGGTACAACTGAAAAAAAAAACCCCTCAGAGAAAATATTTAATGTTCCCTAAGCCAAATAAAATTCATAAACAATAGGAAAAGAAATTAGCCACATGGGGGGGAGGTTTATAACTGTAAAAAATAAGAAGACTACTTGGCTGCATTGCACATAGGCAATAAAATTAGATTCATTCAGATCCCTTTTAATGTAAGCCTCGTTTCAGGCTGTAAGCAAGAAATGTCCACTGTGCTTTACAAAGGACGACGACTAGAAAAATCAATGCAAACAAATATCCCTTTCTTTTCTGATTTACCATTTATCATGAGAGATGACAAACAAATGAAGTCTCCTCTGAGTCTGAGCGTAGTTGTATTAGCATTTTGCTAGTACCAGGCAGTATACAAAAACAGCCATCATGTGTGACACCTCCAACACCCACAGGTAGCTGTTTTAGGGGCACATCCTGGTTGTGGTGAAACAGGTTTAACTCAGCCAGCCTCTTGTACCTGCTCAATGATATCAGGTTATCATCTCAGTAACTCCAAGGTTGGACTGTCTTGTTCCTATTGCTGACTGGACTGACTGCTCCACCATCCATAAACAGAAGGCATAAAGGTGATTACAAACATAAGAAAGTAGTTTTACATATTGTCTTGCAGTCTTTCCATATAGTCCCTAAGTTCCTTGGAATCGCCAAGATTCATATCTTGGCATACCCATTTAATATTATCATCACTGTCAAACAGAATTGAATTAGTGTAGGGGCCTCCATCCTCCGGCAGTATTGTTGTGTATGAAGTGAACTTTACTCGCTTCTGCTTTGGCCCAGAAGGATTTATAGGTTCACTTTTAACTTCTTTTTCACAAAGGTACTCAGAAGACCTGAGGATATGATTATGAAGAGTCTTCTGAGAACTCCCATTAAGGAGAAAGTTGCTTTCTTCAAACTGCATTCCTCTGTCAATCATGGTAGTGCACTCCTCTGACGGGAGCGAAATGTCAACTGGGTTTTCCAGCAGTTCAACCTCATTTCCAAGCCAGACCCAATCATGGGAATGGGGGATGTTGCCTTGCTCACTGACAGCAAACCTTTTATGCCTGTACTTCCAAGCAAATGCCACACAGTTAATCAAAAACACCAAGATTGCCAAGCAGAAAACACACAGCAGGGCATACATGCCAATCTCCAAGTCTGTTAATCCTCTTGAAGTCAATGTGAGATCGCTGGGGTTGTTTTCTCCTGGTATTTCTACTTGCGTAGGGAAACCCATGAAGGCAGTTGGGTTACTTTGGAGCTGGCCATCCTCCAGGGACTCCGGATCAATAGGGGATATGAAAGTTGTGCTTTTGTTTGCATTGTCCTCGTGACTGGACATGTCCTCATAGTTTTTAGACCATTCTTGTGCTGTCCTCTCTTGTTCTGCAGGTTTCTCTATAGAATTGCTTGCATGGCTTTTAAAATCTCTATCCACATCATCAATGTCATTAGCACTTCCTTTTTGGTCAGAATCTTTTTGACCAAATTTCACTTTGACACTTCCTTTCCCAACAGCCAGAATGCTCTTCCGCTTAGTCTTCTGACATGGCTCACTGATGACCATTTCAATTTTAATCAGCGGTCCTTGCCCATCCCCTTCCGCCGCTACCACAGGCCATTTGGACTGAAGGTTTTGGTGTGCAGACACTACCATCTCATCCAGTGAAGTGATGGTGATCGAGAAGTCCTTGGAGTCATAGATATCTAATGGCGTCACTGACCCATCACTGAACAAAATCCAAGCACTGACTATGGCTTCCTGGGGGGGAGAGAGGATGAGAAAAAATAATGTATGAAAGGTAAGAGAGCACATACCAGACACTCAGTTGTTCAAGTCTGTCTGATACTGGCAAAATAAATATACAGTTTAACTTTGGTTTATTTTGATTTTTTAAAAAAAGAAAATCAAAATGTCTACTCCGCTTATTTTCTTCTTGCAGGTTTGTGTTCTCTAGCCCACTTAGGCATTTATCTTTCCCATCTTCAGGAACTATCAAAGACATAGTCATCTAAATTTAATAAAAGATGCTGCGAAAAAAGATTTGACAATTTTTTTTTCAGTCTGAAGTGAGAAGCCTCTTTTCAATGCCAGGGCCTTATGGTAAAAATAATCATATTTCCAAAGTCCTGGTTAATTAATTTTATAAAGGACCTACAATGGGGAATTTGTGTAATACTGCGGTTCTAATGCCATATTTAATACAACGTGCAGAGCTGTTATGTGTGGGAATGGTGATCCCATTCAGCCCATTGAAACAAACTAGGTTAAGAACACATCTCAATGCAATATTTTAAATTTTCTGTCATGCTTTCAAAAATACAAGATTATGTGAAATATACAAAAGTGATTGTAGTCTTTTCTGGGGACTATAGAAACACTCACAAAACTGCCATTTTGAAGGATGCTTTGACCAAAACAATTTGTTTTCTTAGTCCAAATTGCTAGTGCTAAAAGGATAGTTACACTTTCTCTAATGATACAGAGTCTTGATTCTATAATAAATACAATTTAAAAAATATGTAATTTATTCTGTAGTCTCACTGAAAGCTATTTAATTCCTCAGATTATACAGTTCAAAGCAAGCACAAACACATCAGATTTCAGCAATGCAGATCATGAAAACTTCTGTACATGCAGCCAAAAGTCCTTTTGGCTGAACTGGCTCTGTGAGACTATGAAGGCATGGGTTTTCTACCTCTGCTTACATAGCTAAGCTGTATTTTCCAATAGAAAAAGTGTCTTGAGTGGCACATATGTGCTTTCTACAGCATTATGCATGTGCAGACATGTCTGTCACTTTCCCTGTGCTGTGCAGGTCTCCAGACCAGTTCTGAAGAGTTTAATGGTCACTCTGTATGGGTGTTTGCACCTGTAGGACTTAGTCCGTAAGATGAACAGCCTTTACTATGTGAAGTTACCGCGTTCGACAAAGTCATACGCTATATCAGCTGTCTAAAATTTACAGTAAGTAGCTTTTCCCTAGCTTCTGACAAAGCACAGTAAACAAATAAATTAATTCTATATACTATTTCGGATCATACCTGTTTCGGAGTATGAAGGATATCATATGCAGAGATGGTAGAAACAATAGCTCTCTTATTTCCTTTGCTGATTTGTAAGGAGAGGGACAAGCCTGAAACTAGTTGTACTCCTAGATCTGTAATGGTTACGCGGTCATCTAGAACTATCACTGTCTTCTCTGCCAAGATGGAATCGGAAAGAGGTGACAGAACCTTGAAAGAGAAAGCAAACGCTTTGCATGAAACAGCAACCAACTGTGTTGTAAAGCGAGATTAGACTCTAATCGGCATAACGCTTCGGATTAATCTTGGGTTTGTCACATCCATGTATAAACTATAATTGACGTTTCCCCCAAGACATTACACTTATTTGCTGCTAAATTACTTTATTTACAAAAATAATTTAATAAAACAACCAATCACTTCAAAATTGCAGCTTCATCTCAACAACGGAGTATAGCGTGGTGTTGTGTGGGCTGTAAAACCTCCTATGAATGCAGTATAGCACAAGACATAGTGTAAGACATTGATTAACGCTGAAACTCAATCAGGGACTAAGTAGGTGTACAAAGCCTGGCTGATAGGAACTTGGCCTGATGCCTTTATAGGGACAGAGGATCTGAACGAAATGAAAGTGAGATTTGTGAAAGGACTTTGAAAATCTGGGTGCCTGTCTGCATTTTTCAATGCCAAAATAGTCCTACCAGTTTGCTCTAAGACTTTGTTTCTAACATGCTCAGAAGCAGACAGTCATTTTTCTAGTGATGCCAGAAACAGCTGGTTCAAGGCCAAAATATTTGAGGTGCGATTTGTGTGAACTAACATGAGAATTCTGCAGGGTAGCTACCTGCATCAGAGCTAGCTGCCTTCTGCGCTTTTGTAGTCACCAGAGTGAGAGAGACATTTTAAGGGCAGAAATCCCTTGACCTCTTTGTGATGTTTGTTTTAGGCTGAAAGGAGTTGAGCCCTAAAAGTACTTATTTCTTTGTGTTGACTACAAAGGAAACTTAGTGTGACTGGACCATTACAGACGTTTGCAGTTAGTAAGAGCCCCCATGCTTGTATTCCTTTATTTTGATTAAGAAATATTCATGAAGTTAGACAGAGAAACAGGTGATGAACACGAGCACTCTGAAAGTTTTCTGAAGATTATTTTTGTGTCCCTTTTTTGTGTTTCCTTTTGTGAACATAAAGGGACTAATTTTTCAAAGATGTTTAAGCATATAAAGAAGCATGTAGATATTTGGTAAAATTTCCTAACAATTAGGTTCATAAGGTCCCACTTAAATTAAAAGAAACTGGTTGTGTGCATCACGTAACCTGTTTCACTGCTCAGAAAAATCTCACTGTATTGCTAGTCACATTAACATGGATAAATCCCATCAGAAGTTTCGCCTAAAGGTATTTTATGGAAGTGACAAATAGCAAAAAAGGTAAACCCATTCAAACTTCTGTTTATGTTTAACATGTAAATTTTTTCAGCTTCTTTTTTTCTGAGAGCAATTAATTTTATAAGCTAACTAGCTATTGTATGTGTGCATGCAGAACTCTCTCTACGGAAGCTGCAGATACATCTTAGGCTGTACCTGGACTGTGGTGATGCCATGCTCACGACCAACCAGAACTCGGCCATCTTGAAGCTTAGCGATCTTGGGTTCTTCTACCTTCATGAAATCAGTCACAAGGTCAGTGATGTCAAACTGCCACTCGGAGCCTAGCATATAGGTCAAGTGGCCTCCAAACTCAGAGGATTCAGCTACAAACTGTGTGAGGACTCGCACCATGGCATGCTGATACTGGAGGGTACAACCTCTTCCTTTTTTCTCATCATCCTCTTCGTCCTCACTGTCACGGGTAGGCCTGTAAACAGATCCAGGCTTGTTATCTGCATTCCCATGATCTCCCTACAACACTGCAGAGCTTCAGTTGCATGGCATTTTCAATTAGATTAATGTTATCATCGTTTGCTGCTATGCGAGACATAGGAAACCAGATTTTGGATGTGTAGGTTACTAAATCTGGGTGAGATGCTTGTACAGCTTTTTCATGCTGTACCATTTAAAAGCTACTGTCACTTCTGTTAGTGAATTCTTGGTTTGAGGGGGACCTCCCAGCAACTTGAAAACATGCCTGCCATTGCTGAGATTTCAGTGGAACCACCGCTTGTTTGCCATGTCTCCAAGCGGCAGTCAAATCTTGCAGAGGGCTAAGGAAAGCAGTGTGAAATGTTTATGAGAGGGTAGTTCTGGAACAAACCCCTGTAGCAGCTCAGCAGGGATAGGAGAAGATGTTTTAACATCCTTTCCTCCACCTTTGCCCATAACAATTTTACTACTTTGCTCATCTCTTCACAACTGCTGTAACACATTTGGGACTCCCTGCTTAGGTAATGCCACCTCACCTTATCCCACATCTCTGTCTCACAGGTTCATTTAAGCCTTCTGCATTTGAGAAATATACCATGATTTCACCTTAAACCTCATATAGTTCATGGAAGTGTCTGGTATATTTAGGCATGTAATGACCATGTGGGGCTTCCAAAAAAACAAATTAGGCACTTAAGTTACCACTCAGGACATCGGTTACACCATGCCAGAGTGGTGAGACTGCCACTCACCCCATAGAAACAACGGCAGCATTAGATGCACTTTCTTTAACATTTTCTAACTGTCTATCCCCATTGCAAAATACAACCCACGGCAATGTAACAGCCTTCCATAAACCTTACATAAGGCATTGCAGTGATTTGTACATGATAGCAGTGCTGTCACACCTCACAGAATTTTGTCTGGTTTAAAACCCAGTTTCCCATCAATTCTTTTTGTTTTTGTTTTTGCTGCTGTTTATTCCTTGGGACAAACACATGGATTTTCTTATCTCTTTCAAGTCAGATATTAAGCACTAGGTGGTCACACTTTTATTCATTATGCCCCTATGCTGTGGAATTCATTGCTCAGAAATAATTTGCCTTCCTCCTTTACTTATTTATTGAGCCTGAAGCCACCTCTATAGCAAGGGTGGGAAATACAGGGTAAGCCTCTTATTTTTCACAGTATTTTAGGAAGTAGTTTTGTGTTTACTGTGTTTCTTTATCTTCTCCTTTGAAATACAAGCTATGAAAAACTATTATAAAATGGAATTGCTTTTGTTATAAATTGTTTTATGCCAAAGTTGGCAAACAGTAAGCTGAAAATGTATCTAAGAAAAGCCTTTGTGCTCTTCAAAATGATAGAAAGTCCTGGTGTTACAGAATCTAATACACTGGAAATACATTTTCAGTGCATCACTTGTTAGATGAATATATATATTTGGCCTCAAGTAAATGGTATTTGGTACTGCCTTTTTGGTTTTGTGTGTGTAAAACAACAGTGTCCATCATGAATTGCTGCATGAAACATCATTGAATAATCACTGAACCGTTAAGGAAAAAACAGGATCCTAGAATAGGATTTACATTACACAAAGAAATTAGTCTTACAGAATAGGACTAGCTGGGTATTTCAGGGAAACTTTCAATTGTTCTTGCCTTCCCAACACAAGTGTCAATCTGGACTATGAGCTGAAGCCAGCCGGTCAGCAAAATGGTCACAAGGAAAGTACTAGAAGGGGGATATTTATAGAGCTTACGTGGCCCATGCCTATTTAGATTGGTTTTGGGGTTATAATGCTATAAAGGAGTTTATGAACTCCTTAACATTCCCCCTTCCAATTTATTCCTGTATTCTGACCCTCCTCAGCTCATCTAAACCATAACCCAGCTCTGAATACTCTCAGACTTTGGGAAAACCAGATTTAGCTCTGAGATTTTGGGATTTGGCCCTTTTCTAGTAATACAGACAGTAGCATTAGTACCTGTGCAGAATTGGAGAAAAACACACGGAAGCTATCCAGGTAAGAAGTACTTATGGGATTTTGGGGAAAAGAGCCACAGAGCCAGTGGGAACCAGTTTTGTTATGGGAAAAGAGACACAGAATCAGTGTTCTGTGGCTTGAAGAAAAAAGTTCACATGTTCAACATTCACGCTGACTCAATTTTTTTTACACAACTCTGTTTTCTGTTTCAGTTACATAACCAGATGTTTTACTTGGACCCAACGTGTTACTGTTATTCATATTTATTTCTGTGCTTATTTATTTCTACTTTCACTGTTTAAAACTTTAGACTACTGGATTGTTCAAGAGGAAATATATTCAAAACAACTTTGAGGGAAAGAAATTTTCAGCCCCAGTCTCATCCAGCTCATAAATGTGAGTTGTGAATGACCAGAGCTGAGGAGTGGCGCATAAGAGCACAGAGGGAGCGCTCCTGCCCTTATTGCCAGGCTCAAGACTGTATGGGCAGCCAGTACTACCAAGCACGGAAAGGTGATTCAAGTCCGACTCTTTTGGTGTCTCTAACAAACAAAGGTAAGGGCCTCATTTCCTTACAGAAACATTTATAGGTGTTTGTATCTGTATACTTCTCCTTAGAAATACATGGTTGCTATTGCATGCAAATGTGGAACATCAGAAAAGCATCCCTAAACCATGGAATGGGCAAGGCACTTTCTTATGTCAGTGCAAAGTAAAAAGAGAGGTGTTTTGAGTTTTCAATACAAGCTTTGTAAGTTTGCTTTACCAGGTACCAAGTAAAGTTCATTCTTTTTTTAAACAAATGATAGCCATTTCCACTTCAAAGCCACAAATCCACAATTCAGTTAGGAAGTCAGAGCATTTCAGTGTTTTGTCTCCATGGGCACAACAAAATGTTTGAGATCCGCTGAATTGCATAGTTCCCTTTAGACTCTTAAACTTCTTGTTACAGTGTTTTCAGTAGGTTTAAAATCCTTCATTAAGCAGTGAGCTCATTTTCTTTTTAAGACATGTCTTCATGAATGTAAGCTATTGCTGCATATTGTGCTTTTTTTCCCCTTGGTCATCTCCAAGGTTAGCTCTGAGTATCTCCCAGAATCCTTCTTATCCTATTTCTTGCTGCCTGGCAAACTTACTTGGAAGATTTTTTGCTTTTCTGGAGTGAACCAAGGTTGCCAGAATTACATTTAATTTACATTTCACACAGAGAAAGCCTCTGCCAGAGAGCTGAGTTAAAACAGCAGCCCTGTTACCAGGGTGCCTGCTAGCACTGATCTAATCAGTGATCTGTCAACTCTATATTATAGACACTGTCTGTGAGCAGTTTAAGTATGTCTCTTTTAATTTGCACTGCTCTCAAACCAGGTATCATGTTCTTGGGCCAGATGCTAATTTTCTATTAAAAAAACTCTAAAGAAATCAGTTTTGCTGGTTTTGAATTTGAAATACTCATTAAAGAAAGTCATGTATTTAAAAAACATTTGCAACACCCCTATTTTGGCTACAAAATACAAGCCACTAGAAGTTGATTTAGTGGAAGCTACAGAAATAAGTTGTACATAGCTCCACTCACAGTTCAAGAAGAAATGTAATTTGTTACCTTTACAGATCTTGAAAATACAGTCTACCTATTAACAAAAATCTCTATGGCCTTATCTCTATAGGACATTAAAGTTGATTAACTAAAGCAGTGAATTTACAGTGTGTTCAAGCTTTGTGCAGATGTTATTCAAAAATTGAATGGTTTGAATCCAGTTTCACTTAATTTGCCTTAAAGTATGGCTTTATTTCTGAGTGGCAGCACTCACACAGGGGTTTAACTAAAGCAGTTTATTTTTTCTTGCATTTAACTTAGGCTAACTTCCCTGCTTTTGTCTCTGGTATGAGATAAGAACCAAAGTAGAGCTACCACCTAATTAACCATTCGTTCAACAGAGTGCCATTCATAAGCAATACCACGTTTGGCTTAACTCTGTTTTGTAGGTTTCAAAGGTTTATGCTACTCAGGAGATTTGCAGTCACCATGACTTAGCAATGGCTTTATCAGCTATTGTTCAGTAAGGCCGGATGCTGCTAAAAGTCCAGTAAACTATGTGCCTGATACTGAAGCATATGCTGAAGTCATACTGTGTGATGTCTGCCTCCCTGGGAGCCTCATAAAAACAATGTGCTTTCCCAGTTGCAAACATTTACTTAAATTCAATTTCCAGCTTGTCCTGTGAGACTTTAGCCATGCAATTCCTATTAAAGCAAGTTGAAGCCACTCATCCCATGTAAATGTATGTGCATAGAGCTAGTGCAGGAACTTCAGGAAGAAGGTAAATATTTTGCACATGCATGAGGAATCAAAATAAATGTTCTTGTTAGACTAGCAGAGTCTGTCTGGACCTCTTCTACACTCTAATATTTGACTTTAATTTAAATATACACCTTTTGTTTGCTGAGATTGCGGGCTTTTTTGCAGCCTGTTGCAGGAGAGGAGTTTCTGTTAGCCCATGCTATTTCAAGGACCGCGTACCATGCATTACTCATGAGTTGATCCATGGAGCTGACTTTCATCTGGAAAGGGAAGCTCTTCATATCTGCAGGAGCACACACCATAGATCAGGTTCTCCTCTGGATAATAATAAAGGTTTGCCATATATTTGCAGATTGATCTGGTAAATTGTATTACTGCTCTTATGTAGGAGAGACTTTTTTTTCCCACTTTCTGCCATAAAAGCAGCCTGGTTTTTCTTTGTTCCTCTAGAAGGTTCCTGCTCTTACAGCAGTTCAGACCAGGTGAAAACTGACACAGTTCAAACTGAGACAAGTGGCATTTGTGAAATTTTCGTAAAGATCGCGTCTCTTTCATTGCTTTGTGGAAATTATGCAAGAAGCTAGGTAAGCAAACATGTCTGTAATCACATGTATTTTACAATTACAAACATGACAGGGTTTATAGGGAGAAGCAATACGTTTTATTAGATCAACAAACATCATTGGGAAGAACAGATGTAATTTGGGGCATATAAACACTTTTTCAGGTCTGAAATAGAAGCAGCTGTATTCAGATGAAGAACAGCCATGCTGAGGCAGTAGTTTCACAAGCGTTTCTTTTGTCGACAGCACCAATAAAAACACTTAAAAGATTATTGTAAACTCAGTTATATTTTGCCATCTGGCTCAGCCCCTCAGACAACTGAACCAGCACAGCCACACTGAACATGTGGGAATGAGGCAGCGGGGGAGCCAGAGGGGAGGAAGGAATGTTTGGACGTTGCTGAAGTGTCTTTGCACAATCCCTACAAGAAATGCTCAAAAGTTTTACCTTCTGTGTGTTGATGAATTACTTTATAGCAATGTTTAGTTCTTGCCAAGAAGACAGGGGAGTGGTGTGAAGATACCAATCCTAGTGAACAGGAGGAGAGTAGAAAATTGTTTTGTCTGTGGTGAAGTGAGGAATGAAGAAGACACACTACAATCCTTCCATGACTAAACCTGAGGACAGTGATATAGTTTCAGTTGACCTGTGGGCCATGTGCGACTGAATCTCAATTTAAGCCTGCCTAAGCCTGTTGGCAGGGACTTTCGAAAGAATCCACGAGTTAGATGCCCTCTTCTTTTCAAATTAGTTTCCTTTAAGGACAGGTATCAAAAACCTCATGCAAATTGCAGATACTGGCTCTTACATGAAAATGAAGTTGAAGTAATACAATGCTATGGCTACCACACCTGCTGGGAAATGCTTGGCTTTTGTCTTTTCTTTCAAACCTGTTCTCAGATAGCACACAAGACAACCTTCTCACTCTCCAGCAGTAGCACTCTATTATACATACCGGGCGGGCACTGTGAAGAATTACAGGCTGAACTATTGTTCAAAATAATCGAATGTGGCCGCCTGGCTGTGTCGCTGAATGAGGATTCAGGAAACCAACCTGCAGCTCCTGACTGTAGTCCAAATGTCTTGTGAGCTTCAGGTCACCATTTAAAAACTCATCATAAAAACTCCCCCATGTTTAGGATATTGGGAAATACGTAGTTATGAAGGAGATAGAGGTATAAGCAGATTAAAAATTAAAGAGAAAAACAGGAAAAAAAAACAAAACACCGAGAGGAAAAGCCACTAAATCTCAGGTAAAACCCATCCCAATCTAAAAATAAAGGAAATGTAAAAACCTTCTGTACAAAGTAAATGTCAGAGTGAGCACAACTAATGCTAGTCCTAGACTGCCTATTGATTTCAAGTACCCCTCCAAAGTTAAAAAAAAATCCACATGAATGTTCTGTAAAACAAGAGATAATTTATTTCTAGTTAAAACCTTTCCAGTTCACACAGACATGGACTGCTGACACACATGTCATAAACTACCAGCTGCAGTTCTGGGGAATGATACAGTGTCCATACTTTCTCTTCCACCCTTCACGGAAAGGGCTTGCTGAAGATGTGCCAGCAGCTCAGATGCAATCTGAGCAGCGGCAAACTTGCACCGCTTGCCAGCTTGCAAACAGAGCAGACTCTCAGACCATTATCTTTATTTCAGCTAGCCAAATAAATCAGAACTAGACACCAGGGGGTAAATTTCCAGCACTGTGTGTAATGGGTTTAAAGTCAGAATGTCCACGACCGTTACCCACAGTTGAATGTCTAACTCACTGAGCTTGCTGCTGAAAGTTTACTCCTATAATAAACATCAACAGCCTAATCCTGCAGCCATTTGCTCAGCAAAATCCCCACTGTTTTTTCTAGGAGCTGTGCCTAAGTGAGTATTACGGCACTAGGCACGTTACAGGCAGATGAAGTTAAGTGAGGTGAACTTTAAGCAGCCGGCATACGTTCATTCCTCACCTAGAACATCTCTTCCTGCCACAAATGGCAACTTTGCCTCTATCACTGAAGCAAAGACACAAATTTCTCTTGTGCCAGAGCCTCATCACCTCTTCTGTTATAGCCAGAAAAAATGTCCACATAGCCAAGAGGTAAGTCAGTCCTCTTCTCTGGAGCTCATTATCTAAGTATCCTGTAAATTGTGTCCTATTACCCTTAGTTTTATGCCCTCATAAATTGTTAGATAATTCTACTCCACTGCTGTCTGTTTGGGCTCTTTAAGGCTCTTCAATAGCTGAGATGTTCTCCTGGGCAAATCCAGTGCTTTAGCTAGAACTGCCACAGTGTTTAGCACTACAGTTACTGCTGCCAGAAATGCTTTTTCACTGTATTATAAATTTGAGCTGGTGTCATGCCTTGTTCTCCAGTATTTTTCAACTTAGCCTGAAATTCTCCAATATAGCAGTGTTCCTGGAAGTTCTTAATCTTGAAAATTGGCCAAATGATGGTTATTCTAGAATGGGTATTTTCAGTAGGGAATGGTGGGAACAGAGCTGAAAATCCCCACACCCCCTCTTTTTTTTCCCCATCCACATTTGTCCTGGTAGAATCCGTTCATCACAACATAGTCTTCAATAGGAATGTAAGTGTTTTTTGCCTAATTCAGCTCTGCGAAGTAATGCTTCAGCCAGGTCTGCTGTACAGTGCATCTGTACAGAGACTGAACAATCATCCAAAGTCATAGAATCATAGAATGGTTTGGGTTGGAAGGGACCTCTAAAGATCATCTAGTTCCAACCCCCCTGCCAGTGCCCAGTGACCTGACACCCTCCTTGGCCCTATTTTAGTTAGCACTGTAGACAGAAACTTAAGCACTGGCAATGCTGAATATCACACACACCATATTACATACAGGATGGGAGAGTTCCAGGTCCTTTTCCTCAGATTTGCACATCAGAGCATATGATACAATTTCCTGAGATTGTGTGGAATTAATTCTCCAGGCAAAGCCATTGACTTTTAGACTAGATAGATCAGGATAAAATGTAGCCTACTGATACTATTGTTGGATGTTTTAATGAAGGCTAAGACAGACTGTAAAGCTAATTTTAAACAGGAGAGTTTCGATTCTGAGAAATACTCTCAAAATTTGTTGTGTTCTAAAATCAGAGGCCCCGGGCACATATCTAGACTGTGCCAATGCTGTAAGCATACCTTTTATTGGAGGTGACGGGTATCCTCCAGCCTTTGATCTGGCTAAGCTCTGTATCAGAGATCTCTATCTGCAGCGGGAGCCTTGGAACCCAGACCGTCACTTCTAATTGGGTGGTAAAATGCTGATAAGTGAAGTTAACAATAGTATCCACTTTGCTTTTCATTTCCTTGCCATTAACGAAGATGGAGTCACATCTGTCAGAAACCTTAAAAAAAAAAAAAAAAAAAAAAGATTCATTAGGAAATGAATAAAAGTTCCTGAGGAAGCATGAGGAATGATACATCAGTCCAAAGACAACACTGATAATGTGAGTCATGCATATTGCATTTTCAGTTTTCTAATTAGTAGCAAACAGTGATAAATGGACCCCAGGGAAACAGTTCTGCTTTCTTCAATGGATACTACTCAAACTACAAAAATAATTTAATGATGTTATATAACCTATGTGAATCTTTTATACTAGGCAAATTAAACTCTTCATCAATCAAATTCCATGTGCATCAAAGTTTATGTTTACAACTTGCTTAAAGAACCTGGAAAAAATGGGGCCATATGTTAGTAAGAAAAAGACTGACTCAGAACCATAAAACAGAATCCTTTCCTTTTTCCTTGAGCACTGTAATGCTGAAAGACAAAGATCCCCTTATGGCTCATGAGCAGAAGTGCAGCAGAAGCATTAATTTTTAGAACTTCTCGGTAATTGTTTTAGCAAAATGTATTCATAGTTGTTTTGTGTCATTATATGAAATTACTCCCAAAACTAGCACATGGGCTCTCTACTACAGCTCATCTACCCTCTTGGTCTCAGGGATCCTTTGGCACAAAATCAAGGTCCTGAGCACAGATCCTCTTCATATAAAGAACATGACGTAGCAGTGCATTTGACCTGCATCCTGGACAGACAGAACTCTTTCTTCATGAGGTACACTTTAAAAAAAATATTTATGAGTGTGTGTGTACTTTTAGATTATCTATACACACATATTTAGATTAATGTATAACATGTTTACATATATGTATATATACGTACATGTACTTGTATCTCTATACAGGTTTACATTCGGCTTTGAAGCAAGAAGGAGGTGATAGTCTCCAACAGAGTCCATGTACTGTGGTTTTGATCTTTTAAAACCATGGCTTATGAGATGTAGCTGTGTTACTGAAATGGACTTTGTTCTCTTGTCAGGACTGTTCTGTGTCATGTTGTATGAGGCACTGGGACTCACATCTGAAGGGATTCTGGCTAAGCCAGTGATTAAGTTATGGTTTACTGGAGTTACTGAGATAACTCATGTAGCCTTCAGTGGGGAATATGCTGAAACACAGGTTGGTTTTGCTCTGCAAACGTACCTCAAATGTTTTCTGATATTAACAGGAATTAGGGGTTACTGAGCCAAGAAAAATTACAGAAAATGTGTAGCAGTCTTGTCTTTTTTCCTCAAAGGAAGTCCTCACATATAACTTTGAAATTACGTTTGTCCTACTTTAAATCTCAGAATAAAATGGTTTTTCTCTTGAGCTCTAATGTGGTATAGTGCTGTTAGATGGTCAGTACCTGAATGCTACTATCATATGGAGCACATTTAAATAACAAAATTTTGCCTAAATGGCTCTCATAATGCTTTTAAGATTTATAGGCAACATGCCTAAGAATCAGCTACTTCAGATGCAAAAGAATACAGGCAACCTTTATGCAGGTCATTCAGATCAAGTTTTATTTCCAGAATTGTTGTGATGACGTTGAAAGCATGGCAACTCTCTAGGCCAAGCATGGAAGGAGAAACATTTGGGAAACATAGTGCCAGTTGATCTGTTGGTATATATCCACTGAACGTCGATCGCACCAAATGACTGTTTCACACTTGGTGAGACCACACAGCCAAACTTTTCAGATTGTCCCTTTTATAACATCCCTGTACAACTATCGTCATTCTCTTGTACTGCTTATTATTAGGTAATAGCTTCGCTAAAAGTATTGTCCAGTGCCTTGAGATTCTTCTTAGAAAAGCTCACTGTCTGATGTTTTTCTCTCCATATGCAATACCCATATATAAAGTAAAAGAGCTGCACTTCCACGTTTGCCATTTTCAAGTCAGCTTCTCAGATCCTAATCAATGTACTGAAACTACAATCAATTGCTTTTTTACAAAGGGACTAAGCCAGGTTTGTAAGGAATGGGGCAAAGGAAACTAAGACACTCTTCTGGCGAGAATACTGCTTCCACATAAATGCTTAATGAGTACAAGAATTAAAAAAAAACAACCAAACAAACTCTAGCTATCTGATAAAGAGCTTAAAATGGACTCCATGCTCAGGAGTACCACAAATGAGATGGAGCATACTCAGAATCTTTGTTTCCCCCTCCTAATGTGTCACAAGTGTCTCTGGAAAGTTTAAGTACATTAAGCAAGTCCATTAATTGAATGAGCAGTTGAGATTCTAAATCATAAAGCCTACATCTAGGGAGTTTTGTGAGAATTAATACAAGGCAGAAATAATTAAGAAAACTCAAAGAGGGAGGGATAAACATCAAGACCGGATCAGGGGAATAACTAATATCTGACATGACAGCGGCTAATATTTTAGATTCTCTTCTTGCTGCTTAAAATGCTCTTGTCTTCTTGTCAGCAGGCAAGAAAGGTGCTAAATTAGGGAACTGAAAGATGGTCTTTAATTGTAGCTGTAAAAATATCAGGCTAGGCTTACAAATTTCATAGATTATATGTCTAGACAGAGCCATTCAGTCATTTATGTACTGACCAAGAGGCAAGTATAAATCAGTATATATAACTATACTATAGAAGTTCACCCAGTGGCCTTCTGAGGAGTTCATGTTTCACTTAAGTGTATCTTCCAGAAAATAATCCAGCCTTGACAAAAAAACTTGAAGACAAATACTGTTCTTGTTTCAGGTCTCTCTCTCTGGAATTTGGGTTTACTCTATTAGGTACAAGCAAACCAAAAAATTTAAAGGAAAATTAAGTTTGTGCAAATAAGGGTGAAAACCACAGCAGTCAGCTGAATCCCGTGATGAAGTATGTGAAACCATGACCACTCTCAACCATTCAGGCTAGACTAAAGCTCACCTGAGGAAGCCTCTGTTTCACTCACATGCATTTAATTACTGCCATGTTTCATTCACTACCCCTTACAGCAGCTGCTACTTGAAAGTAGATGTGGTTCAGCTGAAGGAAATGGGAACCTTGCACACGTACAGAAAATGCCCAGCACTCCTGTTTCACTTAGGATCTACTACAGACCCAGGACAAAGAATTAATTTAATCCAGGTCTCAGATGAGAGCTGTCATTTCATGCTAAAACAGCACTCTGACACTCCTCCAAAGCGAAGAGGGAATGAGAAACACACGTTGAGCTTTGGGGACTTGGTGCCAGCTGTATTCTCTGGCCAATGGCCTACAGCAAATGTTCCCCTTCGCTTTCTCCCCTTTTAAGTCTCCTCCATACTTTTCTAGTCACCTCTGCCAGAAGTTGCTCATGATGCTGCTGGAAGGGGAACTCGTATGACCTGCTGCTGGAGTTTGGGGAGTGCATGCCTGTGTACATCGGAAAGCGCTCAGGTTCGCCGTGGGGCAAGCTCTGACGCAGTGGGGCAACACAAGCAGAGCTACATTAGCAGGTGACTTAACACACAGATTTCTTTTGAGCTGCAGGTTCTGAGGGAACAAAGAGGAAAAATGCTGTTAAATCTCCCCCCGGCAAACACTACGCAGTGAGAGGACACGGCAAAAACTTAGAATGCCACCCTCTCATCTAAAATGCATAAGAGCAAGCCTGTTTAAAACAGTCTGTCACCATCCATCGTCAACTGCCTGACAAAATCAGAAAGTGCTATTTGAGATAGTTTGCAACCAAGAGGGCAGGCTGGCA